CCGTTCGAGTAAGGAGTTATAAACAAATCTCAGACTGATTAATGTTTGGGGTTGCAAGCAGATATATCGACTGCGACAGGAGTAGCAGAAGGGACAATAAGAAATTCATACAAAGACTTGTATCCACATCTTCCAAAGATAGCACCAAGTTGGTATGCTAAGGAAGAGGATCTTAAGAACCTCTCAAGTCCTTGAAAAGTTTCTCTTCTATATGCAATAGGAGGAAGATATAAAGCAATTGTTCTCTCCAGTAGAGGAGGCTCTTGTTTTTTTTTTAAAAAATTCTTTTTTGGATATCTTTTGTTAAAGATTCTTGTCATGCGTTAAAAACTTCGGAAACAAAAAAAATCATAGTAAGAAGTTTTTTTTTCGTTTCACTCTCGTTCCTTATATTAGTTAAGCATTCGCCAAAGCGAAAAGAAGAAAAAGGCGAGGAAGACTTGAACTATAAGCTTTTTATTACCTCTCGGCAATAGGCAGTCTTAACCACAAAATCTCAAATTTATTCAAATCTCTTTCATTATTGAATTGTATTAATATTTCATTTTTGTTAATGAAATGCATTATGCATTATGTGGGTTTGAGGCGTGACAATAACAATTCAAAAACATTAGTAAAATTGGTCAAATTTAAAATAATATTTTTTGATATTATAGAAAAATGCTAGTATATTACAGAGTGAACCCGTTATTTGCGTCAAATAAATAAAAAGAGTACGTCACATAAAGCTCTTTAACGGAAAAGAGACATCACCTTTCGATACTCTTCAACTCGCGAGACTTGAAGAGGAGAGTTGGCGACTTGCGCAGATAGAAACGGACGACGTCGAGGAGGGAGAAAGCTCTCCACAAACCACGACAACCATACCTTCAGGGACCCACACCTTCTAGTGTGTAAGGTAGATGCGTCATGGGTGGACCATGGAGCCACTAGCGGACTGGGATGGAGTTTTACTGATACATCAGGACAAGTTCACACCGGCAGACGTGGTTGTTGGAGATGCCTATCGGCCTTACATGCAGAGCTCGAGGGCCTTACATGGGCAATGGACTGCCTAAAACAAAACGACATTTCTTCGGTTCGTTTCAAGATGGACTGCTCAGATTTATTGAAGATGGTAGATGACCCGTTGGACTGGCTAGCTTTCCAGACAGAGTTAGACTACCTTTATGAGTTCAGAGACAGCTTTGCGAATTTCTGATTATCCCTTATTCCACGTTCTTGTAATGCTCATGCCGATACTCTTGCAAAAGAGGCACATGCGCACGACTATATATTTTCCCATGTAGATCTCGATGAGTTGGTAATGGTCGCTCTAATCCCCTACTGACCAACTTTGATTTAGGCCTTGATTGGTATGGCTTATAGCAGAGTAGTAGCATGAAGCAACATTAACATTAGCAGTATGCTCTGATTAATATGCATAAGTGATTGGCAGAAGTGTGAATAACTAGATATAAAATTAAATAAATTATTTCATTATATTTATTTATATGTATTCTAATACATTACATATATACTAGTCATAAGTTATAACAACATTTTTTTATTCAATTAGTCTTTTATTAAATTATTATTTTATTATAATACTATTTAACTAATAGAAAAATAAACTAATGTTAAATATTAGGTTTTGGTTTTAATATTAAATATATTTATAAATTATAACATAATTTTTTTAATAATATTTTCAAATCTAAATCATATTTAACTAATTTTTTTAATTTTGATATTATTTTAAAATAATAAAACCAATAATAATAAATATTAACTAAAATTAATAAAAGTTAATATAATTTATTTTTGATCTTATATATGAAAAAATTAACTATTTAATATATTTTTTAATATATTTTAATAATATTATAGGTCAAAGTTTATGGAAGAGTATTGAAGGTAAAAATATTTAAAGAATATTAACAGTTACTAAATGCTCTGTTTAATGTTTTATCTACCAATCAAATTCTAATGATAAAATTTTGTCAAAAGCCTTAATATATGGGAGTTTGAAAAAAAAAAAAAAAGTTTAAATCCAGAAAAACCCTCGTTTTTGTTTCTCCGACTGCATAGCTCGAATCCAAAAATCAATGGCGAACGACCAAGAGATGAGTGGTTGGACTGATCTTCTTCATTCTTCTTCGAAGCTTCTAGAACAAGCTGCTCCTTCTTCTCAGTTTCCTCCTCTTCAGGTTCTTCCGATTTCCGCTGCTTTTTTTCCCTTCTTCTCCTCCTCCTCCGATTTCCAACTGTTTTCTCCGGAATTTCGTTTTTGTTCTTTGGGCTGGAAATTTGATTTTACGATTGATTCGTGTCTGTATCGCTATCAGAGAAATTTAGATCAATTGGAAGCGTTATCGAAGAAGCTCAAAGCTAAAACCCTAAGAAACGAAGCTCCTTCTCAGTCTATTGCTGCCACTAGGTAAGTTTTTGTTTTTCTGCTTCAATGTCGTCACAATCACTAGGTATTGTGTTGCATATGCCAAAATCAAGTGTTGTTTGAGTTGGGAAAAAAAATGAAATTATTCCCAAGTACTTGGTGCCAGAAACAGTTGAATTGTCTTGAGTTAGCTTCCTCGTAACTAGGAATTGTTCTCTTCCATTGTTGAACTTTTGAAAGGGAGTAGCTACTAGATAGTTTCCGCGAGCAAGCAATGATTCTGTTGTCTTTATTTTTGTTGGAGTTTGCAGACTACTCGCACGGGAGGGAATCAATGCAGAGCAACTAGCTCGTGATCTAAAATCTTTTGAGTTGAAGGTGAATAGTCTCTTATTCTGTAATTTATCTTTTAACTTATTCTTGCTTTTGTGTGCATACGTTGCTTGAACGATTACTTTGTGTATTGGTGAATTTTGGCTTTAAGATAAGAATGTATAGTCTTACCAAACGGATTCATGACCACTTGCTGCTGTATAAATTGTGTCCTTGGTCTGTTTATTGGTATTGTAAGGCATTGGAGTCCTACTTTTGTATGCTTACACATCTCTCAGCTTGCCGCCTGCTTTTCAAATGTGATTATTCGTTGTGTCATTATGTGATGTTTTCTTTCTTTGATATTCATTAAAGACAACATTTGAGGATGTGTTCCCCGCTGAGGCAACAAGCGTTGAAGAATACCTGCAACAGGTACTTCTATTTCTCTACGGTTTACTGAAGTAGTGAAGTTTACTATTTATATAGATTAATTCTCTTGGCCATGACTGACTGTTGTTTTGCTTTTAAGGTTCATGAAATGGCTATGGTATCAGCTATACAGCAAGCCCAAAAGGATAATGTTCGAAGCTTTAATGATTACATGATGAAAGTGCTTGAGGTTTGTATTTTGGCTATCCATTTCCATGTCTAATATTATCATTCTTTTATTTTTCCTCCTAGTCTCTTGTTTCTTCTCATTATGCTTTTGCATACAAAGATTGATAGTCAGTAGTCGTGTGAAACGGAGGCGTGTATTTTGTTCTTTCCTACTTAATAGTTGTCTTTGAGGATAGCAATATGCAACTAGCTTTTCAAGGAGGCTTTTGTTGGCTGGATGGTTTGCGTATTGATATATTAGAAGGATGTGATTACTGATTTTGCAAATATTGTTTGTGAATCTGAAATGACAGGAGGATTGGAGAAAAGAAAAACGTGACTTCCTTCAGAGCCTTAGCAGAATATCAATGTTACCCAAAACAAATATGACTGATAGAAGTAGAGCGGCTCATGCTGGTCAACTAGTGCCAGTGGGTTCGAGTTCTCGAGTATCTTCAACACCAGGCAAAGAACATGTGGCTCTGGCTACCATACCCATTCATGAGAAAAAAGCTTATGTCTATGGAGAAGTTGTGAAGCAACTTAACACTTCAAGAGAACGAGGCTTGCCATTTCAAGTATGGATTTCCATTACCTTGTCTTAAAATTTAGTACTGGTTCATTTTGCTTAAGATGTTCTTTGATAAGTGCAGCTGAAAAATGTTCTTAACTACTTTTAGAAGTCAAGCTAGGATTGTCATAATTTTTCATTTTGTATGTACTCTACCATTTGATGATGATATCCTTTGATGCAGCAGCCATTAAAACTGGCTACCCTCGTATTGATTATTTTGTGTGCTTTCTACTGATCCCAGTTCATACTTTTGTATAGCCTGCAATGTGTTTTAAGAGCGCTTATGAATCTCTTGGTGCTGAGGTAACTCGTGGAAAATCAGTCAACATGCAGAAAATATGGCAGCTTGTTCAGGTAATATTTTGGCCAATTAACTATTTCGTCCAGCCAGACCATCCTCTAAGGATTGTTCTTGTTCTCTTGCCACCTTTCTCAATTATTCTTTCTGATTGTTGACAAAAAAATTCCAGGCAATAACAGGTGAAGATTCTGCAGTTAGACAGGATGTTTCGAAGAGGATGTCCCTTGCGATAGGTGCAAGACGTCATTTACAACGAGGGCATGAGAAACATATAATGGACACAATTCAGAGTCACCCTACACAAGTATTCATTTCTGTCTCGTTTTTATTTGTTTGTACTTGATACGAAAAGCTGTTACATGTATGTCGATACATTTTTTGATATCCTCTAATTCAAATGGTCGGATGCTTGATCTTCCAAACCTATTTCAAGAGTGTTGGTAATCATTCTGACATGTGCCTTGCTTTTCTAATCCTGTTTCAGGCTTCTCTTGGTGGGTCTGTTGGAAATCTGCAAAGAATTCGTGCTTTCCTTCGGGTTAGTGTCACATACTTCATAGAGCATAACACACATCATATATTCAAACAGCTGTTTAGCTTTCTTATTTCTTGTTTTCTCTAATGTGCAGATTCGTTTGAGAGAATATGGAATTTTAGATTTTGATTCACCTGATGCCCGTAGGCAGCCTCCTGTTGATACGACTTGGCAACAGGTTTTGGATAATTTCCCTCGTACTTGGATTTTAAATTTAGTCCTCCAACTTTTCATTGGGATATAGAGATTTACATTGAGTACCTGCTGGCCTGTTTATGGGAAATGAATGAAATCTATCTATTGGTTCACAGATATACTTTTGCTTACGAACTGGGTATTATGAGGAGGCTAGGGAAATTGCTCGGTCTACTCGTTCATCTCAACAATTTGCACCACTGGTAGGTTTCCTTTAGATCTTAAAATATTTTACAGGATTTCTGGAATCAGCTCTTTGGTTACCTTTCCTTTTTGCAGCTTACAGAGTGGATCACCACAGATGGTATGGTGGCTGCAGAGACTGCAGCTATTGCGTCCGAAGAATGTGAGAAAATGCTAAGAATGGGTGATCGGTTGGGTAGAACCGCATATGACAAGAAGAAACTCCTACTCTACACTATCATTTCTGGTTCCCGTAGGCAAATTGAGCGCATACTGAGGGATCTGTCTACACTCTTCAATACAATTGAAGATTTCTTATGGTTCAAACTATCATGTATAAGAGACGTCGCTGGTGGATCTTCATCTGTGGTCTTGAATGATGGCCTTGCGCCGTACAGTTTAGATGATCTTCAGGCTTATCTCAATAAATTCGAGCCTTCATACTACACGAAGAATGGAAAAGACCCCTTGGTATATCCATATGTCTTGCTTCTCAGCGTCCAATTGCTACCCGCTATCATGCACCTATCCAAAGAAGCAGGAGATGGAGGGTATAATATCGATGCTGTTCATATAGCTATTTCTCTAGTGGACCATTCCGTTTTATCAGAAGGCTCTGGGACTGGGCACAAGTTAAGTGTGATGGATGCTAATGCGGAGGCATCTAGTATGATTAGGCAATATGGGTCAATGTTTTTGCATCACGGGGATCTTCAAATGACGGTAGAGTACTACGCACAAGCTGCTGTTACTGTAGGCGGGGGACAACTAGCGTGGTCTGGAAGAAGTAATGTGGATCAACAGAGGCAGAGAAACTTAATGCTGAAGCAGCTACTGACTGAGATTCTTCTGCGAGAAGGTGGTATCTACTTTTTGCTTGGGGCAAGAGGTTCTGGTGAAGAAGGTCAGCTTGGAAGGTTTTTCCCTGATTCTAGATTGCGACAGCAGTTCTTGATTGAAGCTGCACATCAATGTCAAGAAGCTGGATTATATGACAAAGTAAGTACTTTCTGACCTTATCCAACATTGTCGTGAGCTTACTCCTTTTCGATCTTTTAATAGAGCTTTCCTCTTCTCAGTCCATAGAAATACAGAAGAGAGTGGGTGCTTTTTCGGCTGCCTTGGAGACTATAAATAAGTGTCTATCTGAAGCGATTTGTTCTCTTGCCCGTGGAAGGTTGGATGGTGAAAGCCGAACATCAGGGCTTATTCTCGCGGGAAACGATATTCTTCAGACTTACAAATATTACCCTGAAGTCAGGTATATATATTATTATATTACAGGCTATAGAAATCATTTATCTACTTTTGCTTCAAGTTGAAAATCTGCTCAACGGGTTTTTGTTTTCGTTTTCGTTTTCCGCTCACAGTCTCCAGGAAAGAGAGCGAGTGATGGAACAAGAAACCATACTAAGAGAGCTCGAGGCAATACTATCGATCCACAAGTTGGGTAGACAAGGCAACCATCTAGATGCGTTGAGGGAAATTGCAAAACTTCCATTCCTTCATCTCGATCCAAGAGTGCCCGATGCAACGGCGGACCTGTTCCAGAGCGCGTCTCCTTACTTCCAGACTTGTGTCCCGGACCTGCTCAAAGTTGCGCTAACCTGTCTGGACAATGTACCTGACACTGATGGGTCGGTCCATGCCATGAGATCCAAGGTACATAAATTTACGAAAAACATATTTTGGTTGAGTCTGTTACTATACGAATTCATGAAACCTAATTCTCTGATTGCTTTGGGCAGATTGCTGGGTTTCTTGCAAGCAACACGCACCGGAACTGGCCTCGTGACTTGTACGAGAAGGTGGCTCGAAGCTTTTGAACATTTTTGGCCATGTTCTTGATCCTAATGAAATTGAACATTTTCGTAATTTGTACTTGATGATATTATCATTTTGATTTCAAATTAAATTATTAGGAGAGTTCTCTCTTATGTGTCCACGTCAACAAGATTTTATTTATAATGTTCATTTAAATTCATGTTAATTATTTATATTATTGTTCATTTTGATTAATATATAGTATAGTTTTAAACTAAATCTTCAAAAACACACAAAAATAAGTAAAATAAATGAGATAATATTCTCCTTCCATTTTGAATATATTGATTAAAAAACAATACAAAAAACTTGTCTTAGAGAGATAGAAGGTCATGAGAACCATACAGAGAATCAAAGAAGAAAGAAAGCAACAGGCCAAGTTCCGTCCGTCGTGGAGCAGTAAAGATGTTGGAGTTTCTCTCCGTTGGCTTCTCTTCTACACTCAAGATCCGTCAATTACTCGGAGATAGTGCAGATGCAAGCAAAGCTATAAGAAGCAAGAACTTAAACACTCTCAGATACAAGCTATACTCTGCCTGTTCCTTGAACACTCTCACGAACAAACTGAACACAGAAGCAAGAACTTGTCACATGTTTTAATTCCTGATGCATGCTGTTGGAGATGGATGTTAGGAAGAATCTTGGAGGAAGCGCTAAGAAAGAAGAAGCAGAGGTAGATGTCGTAGGAGAAAAAGGAGTGTATAATCGATTATTTAGTCTCTTTGGAAGACATTTGCTATTCATTGTTAGATACCAAATTATATGAGGAAATTATAATCTTCCAAATTATATAACCGCTGAAACCTGAGCATAAACCGCCGCGTTAGCCTCCGCTTCAGCTGCCTCTGCAGCATCCACATCCACATCGGCACAGTACCTGTTCACGATGTGCAGAACACTGTAAGAAACAAAATCAATATTAGGGTACCAAAATCTAATTTCTATATACAAATCACTAAAACCAGTTAAGATAAAGGCAATCTCAGCTTCACACATAGCAAACATTTCATACGCTTTAGTCTCGAGATGCAGAAACCTAGAAGCAAATGAACGGTTTCGAATCGCTCGCTTATTTTGTTTGGCCATTGAAGAAATCATATTCATATCTCTTTTTATTTTTTCTATATGTCGCATTTCCATTGATTCGCTTGATTGTTTTTTTTTACCTGCCATTTTATAAAATTTTCAGGAACTTGATTTTGTTCTTTCAAATTTTAAACCTATGAGACCGAGGAGTCACTGCTTATTTTGTTTTTAATTTTCTACAGACATTGAATTTCTTCTAC